CCAAGGACAAGTTAGGGTAAGGTGAACCTAATAAAGGCGACATTACAGTTGATTCGAGTTAGATTAGGCCTTAGTTTAGGGATATTTTCACGTTAGGATTAGCCTCAGGAAAGATTAGAGTTATTGTTAGGATTAGAAGACCTAGAAATACAGAATGTGGTTAAATTACTCTGTTTCTATAAGAAAAGAACTTGTACGCTGTGGCGGCAGAGTATAATTCCATTGTGGGTAAAATTTATTTTGATAAAGTCTCACAGCGTGTTATACAGTCATATTTACTGCTGATCATGTTTTGAGCACAATTTATTGAGACTTTATCAAGCACATTATACCCACAATGGAATTATACGTTGCTGATACTCGAACGTAGAACTGAAAGCCAATGACTAGCATGCGTTCAAGGTCATTGAAGCGTTCGCACTTCTAGGAAGCTGTTGTTGAGCTTCGCCCTATTTTTATCACATGTGAGATTAAGGTATCCTCTGAAACCCTCTTCTTTAGTTTTTATGCATTTTTCATAAATATATATATTCCATGCACAACGATGCCTCCTTCACGTGATTGGTTCGTTCGAGATCGTTCCCCGACTGACGGTAGTTAGTATTGCTTGAAGTATAACTTTGCCGAGACTTCAAACCTATAGCTTGAAGCTTCATATTCTACTTGGGACATAAAGGAATAAAAAAGTATCATGGATACTAGAGGCTTTGTGGGGATGACATCTCTGACTTTAACACTGAATGATGCTTTTATAGAACTTCCTAGAGGTGAAGGAATTTCAATATTTTTATGTCGTTATTGTAAATACCTTGTGAGAATGATTATCTGATGATTGTCTAACTTTAAGTTGAGATTTTACACATTTCATTGTTGTTAGCGGTATTATATTATTTATTATTATTATTATCATCATTGCTTTGGGTTCCGAGGGGAACATTGGGCTTCATCAAAACATATACACTTTCTTCTGTTTTCTGCCGTTCTCTTCATTTGGGTCCACGACTGACCAAACACTCTTATATCTTCCTCCCACACAATCTCCTCTATGTCACACCAGGACGACTTACCTGTCGCTTCCAATTTGGATTCCACTCGAGTGATGGCCTAGCGTGCGGTGTCGTTCGGCGGCCTCCTTAATGTCCGCCTGATCCATCTCTATTTTCTCCTAAATATTTGTTGAGCGATCGGCTCTTGGTTTGTTCCCATAGCTTTTTAATGCTTATTCTTTCTGGCCTGCCATTTGACCGTCAGTATGGAGCCAGAGAAGGCGGCTGTTGACGAAAGTCGGCAGCAGGCTGTTGGAAATCCTTTTCCTTACACGCCGGCCTAGTTTCTGACCTGTATAGAATAACTGACCGACTTCATATGGCTGTTGAAAGTGCAAATCTTGTTCCTTACGCTGAGGTGGAATGCAGCGTAGAAGATTATCAAACCGGTTCCAGGTTGATGGGGGGGGTGTATCTCACTTTGCCTTTTCGACAATGATTGGCTTTGACAGATTAATACGTTAGGTGTGCCGGGAGTTGTCACGACGCTTCCTATATAAGTGAAGGAGTTGACCTCTGTTAAATCTCTTTTTGTTGATGGTGACTGCTGCTTGTTGTTGTTATTGTTGATGATGCGATTCGTCGGTTATCTACATCACCTCCGTCTTCTCTATGTTCACTGGCAATCCTGTCTTCGATGCCTGCGTGTTTCAGTCAGTTTTTTTTTATTTTCGCCTGTACGTCTTCAAATTTGTGGGACATTGGATATGTATCATCTGCGAAATCCAGATCTTCTGGGGTCTTATTATCGGTGGCCCAGTGTATTTCTTGATTCCTCGCCACTAACAATCTGATGCACACTCCAGTCCACGACTATTAAGAACATCATCATTGATAATAGAAATCGAGCTTGTCTTACTCGTGTACGCACTTAGAACGCCTCGTTGAGTTTTCCGCTGTGGGTCAACTTATATGTGACACTGTCATATAGATGTCGATAAATACTTGAGGTACGCCGTAGTGTTGAAGTAGTTTCCAAATTACTTGTCGGTCAACGCTACCAAAGGCGTTTTAATATTCAATGAGGTTGAGGTAGAGGTCTGACTACCATTCTATGCCTTGTTTGACGACGATGGTTAGCGTTGAAATTTTATCACCAAATGATTTATCGTTCCTGAATCTATCTTGTTCCGGTGGGTGACGGAGTTCTGCATCCAGTGCATCTCTTATTCTCTCCAGGATACGGCGAATTAGTATTTTACTTGGAGTGTGCAAGAGCGTTATTCCACGCCAGTTCTTGTACAAGCCTAAGTCACCCTTCTTTGACAGTTTGATGAAGTAACCCTTCTTCCATTCAGCACACAACCTTCTTTCTTTTCAAACTTTTGCAGTAATGGAGTGAGAATATCTCCTGTAATCTCTGAGTCCGTCTTCAGCGCTTCGTAACAAATGCAATAATGCGATATTATTACTCTCTTTTGTTGTAAATGTATTTTTGTAAGATCTACCTGAACTCGTTAGTGAGTTTAGTCATCTGTTACAGAACCAGATGTATACGGACGAGGAGAAGTCATAAACTTGTATCCAGCTGAGAATTGCCTGATATTTAATCAAATCGCTAGTGAGATTGAATCTACTGTTTATGTGTGAATACCTTCGTTATATATTGTTATGGTGTCTTGTCAAATGTCACGAAGAATAGAAAACACGTATTACACTGCAAACAGAGTCTAGTCCACATCATTGTGAGAATTTCTTTTTTGTAGTCTAACTGACGATCTAACCACTACAACAGAATACTCGCTATCTGGGTACATACTATGAACTATTGTTGGCAATTAATGTCAGTAAAAGTTTTGAGCACTGTGGAATAGATCAAATAAAGTATAATTATATATATCAATAGTTTACACAGAATGATACGTTTTGTTATTGGTAATATTTGGCAAGTTAGAGTTATTCTAAAAAGGGAACTTTAATGCTTATCGCCACTGGAAACTGCAACCTCAGAAGTAATTATCTCAGCTCCCATCTGTCAGTATTTGGGTGAAAGTCATGACTAATGAGGTGGGTAGTAGGCAAACTGTAGGGTGAGCTAGCTCGTAGACTATTAAGCAGCCCCTGGGACCTGACTTGATCCAGTAGCCAATCCTTGAAGTCTAACTTCCACCAGGTCATGACTCCGCGACCATTTTGCAATGTCTTCTTCTTCGACGAGTTACTGCCTCACCTGCATACCGATGAAGAGTCCAAAACTAAGACGAAACATATGTTCACTACTCCCTGCAGGTTTCCCAATGGTTCTCTAAGTGATGTCAGCTTATGAGAAAAATCCTCCAACACTAATCAAAGGAATAACTGTTTGAAAATTGCCGGCTGAATGATCTAATTACAACATGATTACCTATTTGGATGTTTCAACTCACTTTATAAATTTCAAGTATTGGTTTCGTAAGGATTTCATGTTTGATTGGATGGAGGATTTCATCAGAAGCTGACATTGGTTAGAGAACCATTGGAAAACCTGGGAGTACTGGACGGCTGTTTCGTCAGTCTAGTTTGGGACTCTTCATCAGGCGTTCGAACCCACGACCCTCTGATTACAAGACGAGTTGTTAAACGATTAAGTCACATGGACTTGATCCAGTCGTCAGTTGATGATTTCCAGCTTCTGCCAATTCAAGAAATAGAGCGGTGAAACAGCTGTCCAGTACTCCCTGCAGGTTTTCCAGTGGTTCTCTAACTGATGTCAGCTCATGATGAAATCCTCCATGCAATCACTTGATACCTGTTATTTGTCTTCTCCAAGATTTTATATAATTTTTTGACATTTTTATATCGGTTGATCCATCCTTATTATTTCTCATTGGTTCTTTCTAGTCTCCCTCTCTGTCTTTATCGCACTGAGACTTATGGATTGTTTTATAAGTTGAAATTTTTTTAGTAAGTCAGGGTCATTTTTACCATTGAATTATCTGTCGGAAAGGTTGCTGTGTGACTCTAGTACACAGAGTTGCAGATCTCACGTTGTTGGAAATAATCTACTTGATTCTGAGGTATTTCTCATGGTTGAATATTTTTGGTTGTTTAATTTTGTTCTGTATTACACGTTTTGTACTTAGAAAGTCATCTTGTCTGTAATGCAGCCGCCTAAAAACACTTTTGAGGTAATTTTTAGTTTTTTTGATGCTTGAGTAGGACCAAACAGATCTGTTAACGAATATTCACCCTTTTTATGAGTTTTTTTTTGTAGGAGATTGATTTTGCCTTAAGTCTGGTCACAGATTGATATCGGTTAGGGAGTGTTGGACAGTGACTTTGTCCAAGTTTGGAACTCACAGATAGTGTTCAAGCCAAGAGCATTCCGGTTTCAAAGCTACCTCGTAAACCATTCAGCCACTAGTGCCTGACTTAATAGCCAACTAAGGAACTCTAACTTCTATCAGTCCGTTAATTTATCCTGACCACTACCTGGTGTTGTTGGAGAGTACTTGTCCTCAATTCCAGCGGGATGGAGCACATCGGTCACAACTTCTCACTGGAACTGCATGCAGGCTACTTTGTCCTGTAGGCAATGACTAGTGAGCGTCAGAGAAACTTCGTCTTCATGGTGTCATTGGAGCGTTTTGTAACTGTGTGCCTATCACAGAAGTTTCCGACTGCTATACAGTAGGATACAAACGTCAGCTCCCCTGCGTGTTCACACCAAAATGAGTCGGTTTTGATCGTTACATTTTTACATTTAAGAATTACAAAACCATTCTAGATGGGAATTTCTCACTGATTTGCAATAGTTCCACCAAACCGATGTCATTTAGTGATAATATTCAACCTTGAAATAATACATTCAACGGGTTCCTCTATTTCTATGCCTACTTCTTTCTATACAGTAATGTCTGAAGTTGACACCAACAAAGATCCTTCACAACAACTACTTATTCGATGAATACACTAACTCAATATATATATATATATATATATATATATATATATATATTTGAAAACTAAACTTACCGACGTTGCATAATATTCGGTTCACTGTCATCGTTTGTATCCTCCAGCTCTGAGTCGACACTGATTAACGGTGCTTCCAATGATCTTTTCTGTACTTCGTCTTCATCTTTCTCACTAGGAGCTTTTTCTATTGTTACATTCGGTGAATATCTCTCCTGTTTTTTAACTAAACACACGTCGACTATCTGATTACTGACATTTTCATTCGCTTCAAATGATGTTTGTGTCAGTGGTGTAATCGACATCGGGATTGATGTTGGTGTCGGTGTCGGTTTTGTAATCGTTTTTTTCTCCGCTGTAGTATTCAATGGTTCAGAGGTATGAAATACCCTAGAATCACTACCAGATATCCGGGTAACCATTAATGGTTGTTCTTCATCTGTTCTATTCTCCAACAACTCACCCATAGTCCATGTTGGTCTCCAGGTATACGTGGAACTTCTACTCTTTTCAAAATTATCCCTTAATCGTTTTAATCTTGTTTGACAAGCAGAATTTTGAAAAATATTTAAATAATTTGTCACACTATTTGCACGTTGTTCATTTTTTAATGAATTATTATTGTATTGTACAGCCTTTGTATCATTCTTTTCTAGACTTGATTGTTTTGAAAATGAATTTATCTCAGTATTCGGTAGTTTAAAACTGGAGCCTCGATTGGTTTGAATCAATGAATCGGTTTGTTTTAATCCAGAATCAGTATAGAGAACAGCAGAATGTGTATGCAATGACATACTACTACTGTCATGACTAGGCGGTCGACCATCTGTCTCTGTGGAGTTATTTCGTTTATAAATATTATAGTCATCCGTATAATCACTGTCATCAGTCCATCCTCTTGTCAAACCTGGTACACTCAGCGTCTCTTGTAATCCAATTGTCTGTGATTCATGCTGATGAGTAGTATTTGTCATCTGATAAGGAGGATGCTTTTTTGTCGGTGATGATGAAGTCACTGTTGCAGAACGGGCTAATTTATTGCGTAATTTATCAAGACGTCGAAGATGTTTATTTGCATGTATCTCTGAAGGCGTTTGACTTATTTCATTTGATAGGTGAAGTTTATTCTGATGAGCCAGTTCCACTAAAGCCTCATGACTGTCAACACACTGATGTGGTGATAAAGTATGAGGCGTTAAATCTGTGAAATTACTGTCTTGATCTGTTTCACCTAAGAAGCCTTCAGTGCTATAATGATTTCTTTGACGATCACATATTTTGACAGTTATATTAGCATCCTCTACACTCAATTGTTTGTTTGGCTTATCCACTGAAATTAATGATGCTTGAGGTTGTGCTTGTTGTTGTTGTTGCTGATGTTGTTGATTTTGTTTTAAGGCATCTTTTGTTGTTGAACGACCATCTTTAGCGGCTAATGTCAATACAGTAGCACCGAGTACACCACCAGATATAAGATGATGAAATGGACTTGATGATGAATGTGTTCCAAACACACCTCCACTTACATTCCCTTGGCCACTAACACCAGTTGCACCACTACTTGGACCACTGCTAGTTGATGTTGTACTCGCAGGGAATAAACCGATTGGAATTTTAGCAATATTTGAATGCTTCATCACTTTTGACTTCGACTCATGAACTTCTTCTTTCCGTTGTTGGTGTTGCTGTTGTTGTTGTTGTTGTTCTAGTTCCTTAGCGGCTTTAAACTCTTTCACATGTCTTAATTGTATTAAACCTGAAAAATAAAGCGGGAAAAGTAAGAAAAATGAATTAGTTTATGATTCAGTAGTACGTGATAAAGTTAGATGCAACGATAACTACAGGGCAGTGCATATATAGTTTTCAAGTAATAGACGCATAATTTAACACTGATCGATAACAATAACAGGAGCATTGAAAACCAGTGGTGAATATTAAACAGTTATTTCGTCGTAGTAGGGGACTCATTGTTAATACTCATCCACCACGAGGTCCTGGTGGTAAGTGCGTACTACTTATAAGTCTTAAATGTCTTCGGCGGTGAGTATTTGTCCTCACACCTAACCAGCCTCACCCTACTGGTCACGATGTCCCACTAAAATCCTTCTGAATAGGGCCGGTAGCTGGTGAGCATATCAGTGATTTTAAAATCTAATGTGATCTCGTGACCAGTAGGGTGCAGCAGGTTGGGAGTGATGACAAATACTCGCCGAAGACATTGGCACCCGGTCACGCAATTCTTTGAATTGGCCGAAGTTAGAACTCATGGCCTGGTCACTAGATCGAGTCAGATCCTAGGGGCTGCTTAATGGTCTACAGGCTAGTTAGCCTTGTAATCAGAAGGTCCTAAGTTTGAACTGTGGTGAGTGCTCACGGCTGAAGCGTTCAAAACTAGTCAGACAAAATAGTTGTGCAGTAATGCGTGCAGGTTTCCCAATAGTTCTCTAACCGATGTCAGCTCATGATGAAACCCTGTAACCAATCAATTGAATCCCTACAAACCAATATTTGAAGATAAATAACAAGATATTTAAGTGGGCAATTTTAAAGAGGATGAATTATAAAGCTTTTACAGATTAATCAAAGGAAGGTCACTTGATGTTTTAAGTGATTTTAGAATTGATCAAAGGGTTAGTAAAGTAGATCAAGTGTAGTCAAAACCTGAAAGCTTCAATAGTGATAACAACATACAAGACGAAGATGTAGTGAAGTGGAATAAAGTTAAGAGACAAAATTAAAGTAAAAATAACAAAATTAGAATCCCTATGATCAAGGTAACGATAGAGTTGTAACGAAACGTTCCTGAAAACACATTTTAAATTTTTTCTACTGTATAGCTAAAGCTTTCACAGCATTTTATTTCTAAAGAACACATTCACAGCGTCCAATGTATCAGATCCTCAGGGACACATGAAAGAGTAGGTGCAGACAGAGATGGACATCAAAAACGGTATATTATCCTTCATGCAAATGTCGAATCATACTTCGTTTAGAGAATATCGGGTGTAAATCCAAGTCATTAAAACTGCATTGGATCCATTTTGATCGACAAATTTTAATACTTCCAACAGTAATGTCACCTTTGAATGCTAAACTGATAAATGGTGTCATCTACTTCAACTCTACCCTCTGAAACATTATGTCTATTATCTAATAATAATTATAATAATTTTCGCTTTATTCCAAAATCAATACTAATGATACAGAAAGGAATTTTCACCATTCAGTACAATATTGCATCTAATTTACTAAAAAACGACAAAAAACGTACATTACATAACAAAATTAATAACAAAACGTTGTTATAGCAGCTATGTAGCAATTACATTATGCGATACGGAGAAAAATATGCATAAAGTATAAAGTTGTAGTAATAATAGTAATAACAATTAAAATGAAAGTTATAATTAAACGATAGAAAGGGTGACAGCATATAATTACAGAAAGATGAACAATGAAAGGGTCGATTTACTGTGCTAATTACATAAATACTTATATGATTCACAATTGGTGGATGGTGGCTAGCAGTGGAATTCAGGATGCGCATTTCGGCCTATTTGGGACTCGTCAGCTGGATGTACCTGCGTTTCTCAGTGAGTGATGATGTTCCCACTGAGGCTCAAACCCAGTGCCCGTAGTTTCAAACGCCAAAGCGCTATCCACTAGACCACTTAGGCCACGAGAGCCACCTCTTGTGCAACGGGTCATATTAATTATTGAATTTAATTTTTGATTTTCCCGTTGCACAAGAGGTGGCTCTCGTGACCCGATTGGTCTAGCGGATAACGCTTTGACGTTTGAAACTAAGGGAACTGGGTTCGAGCATCAGTGGGAACATCATCACTCACTGAGAAATGCAGATACATCCAGTTAACGAGTCCCAAATAGGACGAAATGCGCATCCTGGATTCCACTGCTAGCCACCATCCACGAATTGTATACAAATCAAATCCCCAGACATCATCGTCGAAGCATCTGCACAAGAAGCCGACATGTCAACCTGAGACCGAGCACTTCGGTCCAATCAATCGACGGGAAAATCAAAAATTCAATTCAATAATTATATGATTCACGTCTAAAAGTGTCTCCATCACATAGAATACGAGCTAAATAGGGTATTATAGAATTTTGTACTTAGTAGTGCGAGCGTATAACTTCTTATATTGACATCTCGTCCTATTTGATGAGATGCAAGGGGATAGTTATGAATAAAGGGGGTGCAGGGGGTTTGACAGGAAGGCCTTAGCCAATTTTGTACAGGATTTTATATGTCTCTCGACTATAATATTTGGTGAGCCCTACTCACAGCATTTAACACTCTTCGTAATATGATATAGTCTTTTTTGAGAAGCCCAGGAAAGATTAATGGAGAGCATTAGAGTACAATAGGTAAAATACAGGAGTTCACAAACTGCAGAAGCAAAGGTTTGCTGATACCTGATTGTCTTAACTTTTTAATGTAGAAGGCAAGACGAAACATTTTCTTAGAGGTAGATTAGATGTGGAATGACCATGAAAGATCAGAGGAAAGAACTAATCCATGTTATTTAATGCTTGACTTGGTTTCAATTTCAGTGCCATTTTGATAAATCACACAGTGAAACAGATAGACGAAGCACTGGTTGGTGTTAAATAACTAACTATCCTTCAAAATTCCTTAGGAAGATCAGAAAAGTTCAAAAGCCAAGATAAAAACAATGAGGAAACTAAAAGTGATAACATGAATAAGAGAGAATATAAGTCATCTACTATCATACCATATTAGGGGGGGACATATGAGACCCTACAGAGGATTTTTAATAGAGCGGGAATTAGGGTGACTTTGAAACCTGTGTAGGTTAAAAGACCCTGTTGACCCAGTTAGACAAAATAATATAATTTAAAAAATACTTTGTATTGACTGTGAATTAAGTCAACTACATAGGTCAGTCAAACCAGTAGACCGGGAGTAGTCAGATTGTAAAAACATAAGAATTTGGCTAAGGTTAGAATGATTGATCCCACCCATGGAGATAAGTAATTAAGAAACAAGGTTAGCAGTTGCACTGCATGCATTAACTCACAACCACATAATATAGTGGGTTACAGTTCTAAAAAGCAATATAGTCAGGTAGAGAGACAGAGAGGTTCACCGAATCCACATCCAACACATGCAGTAGAAATGACTCATGACTCATACTGGGGAATATGGAAAATACTGCTGCCAATCAAGTCAAGCGATGGAAAATAATTGAATTATATAAACGAAGTTAGAAAGTTGTGTGAGTAGTGCCTTGACATGATGATTATGAGCACCAATAAACTGTGCTTAAAACGTCATCAGTAAATTTTACTGTATAACACTGTGAAACTTTATCAAAATAAAATTTACCTATAATGAAAATCGAATGGCCTACTATAAGGGATAAGCAACAAGCATGTCTGGGAACGAATCAACCAACAATCGTTTGTCCTACAAGCATGCAGAAGAAACGTATTGTTGGGTGGAACACATCCTGAGACGACTGTTGAGTGATATCACTCCTCTCGAACTCGAGTGGAAACCGAATGGGTAAAGACGAGTTGGACATCAGTCTAAGGGCGACTTAGAGGCGTTCGTGTGAGACCGAGACCAAATTTTATAGGCAGTCAATCAGGGAACTACAGAGTACAGCAAGAAGTAAAGAAGTAGTGGAAGATATTCATCTGTCCATCTTTCAAATGTATGTTACAAATCTTTTGGACATGTGTGCAGAGAAAGGACATCAACGTTTTCATGAATATATATTCCCCTTGATGAATGTGAATAAAGTTGAAGAACAACAACGGTTTCTGCAGAATAAAATGGTACCATCAATCATTTCGTTGGCTTTTCAACAGCTCAGCTGCTTACAGGCCAAGTTATAAGTACACAACAATACCAAAGGTTATCACAAGGTCAGCGAACTCAGCGAAATCAAATTCACTGTATACAACTTAGTTAACGATTTCCAATGTACCCTGTTTCACCACAGTGTTCACTGAAAACAAAATATTTCACAGCTAATTTGCTTGAAACTGAATGGTCGACATGAGTAGTTGTGTAGCACTTACGTCAATCTGTAGTGTTTGCTCACCAGCCAGATCACCGAAGTGATCTTAGCGCCGAACGACCGTCTCAAGCGTTTAGATGCCGAGCTCATCAATGGTCTACCTGGTTTGAAGTCAAACGGTTAGAAATGATTCCGCTCTCTGAGCTGAGCTGAGTTGGCAAGCACAACTACTCATTCCTATTAATAAGTAGTTTATAGTCCTGTGTGAATCCAACTACGCCAAAAGGTAAAGCTACTTTTTCAACATTATTCAGAAAACACGAAATTTGAATAAATCAAAAATAACAGGGATTTGTGCAGAATAAGACGACAGCACCATCACTGTTTATTTCGCTGACTTCTCATCAGCTTTTTACAGCCTAAAGAAGACATTATCAGGTTGTTCCACAGAAACAATTTTAACACACAACACAGAGAGTTCATTTCTGAATAAGAAACCAGTAAATACGTAAAATGCTACCAATAATAATAAACAATGGAATTGATAATTTGATAATGATATTGATAATAGCTTTATTCCAAAAGAGTACTTGCGATACAGAATGCAATTTTCAGCATTTTACTATAAACAGTATTGCATCCAGTTAGTAAATTAACAATAAAATAAAATTCTACATAGATTAACGGTAATCTCAGTTAGTTTTGACAACAACATATTAGCATGTCGGTAGCAAAACCAAAATTG